GTGTTACTGCGATTTTATTTGCTGGTATATTCCTACTGAGAAAGTCGGCATGTCCCATCCTTGTACCAGGTCGGGATTCTACATCAAAATTGAAATCTTGTATTTTAATCAACCATTGCGCAACGCGTGGATGTAGTTCTTTTTTTAGAGCTGTCGCCCGCACCGAATTACAGTCTGTAAAAATAATAAAATTGATTCCATACAAATAATTACGGAAATATTGCAAGTGTCTCTAGGTCGTAAGAGTGATACCGAGACTCACACTCTCTAGTACGTCAACTAAAATACGCGACTGGGTGGGCAATACCGTTGTTTTTACCCTTTTGCATAAGGACTGCACCAAGCCCTACTGAACTCGCGTCCTTGTGCAACTCAGTTTTAAGCTCTGGGTTAAAAATTTGTAAAATTGGAAAATCGGTTAGTTTTTGAATTAACATTAAACGAATATTTTCGCATTCTTCAGTCCATATAAAAGGCCGTCCCTTGCGCGTTAAAAGCGTTATAGGCGCGGTAAGTGCTGAAAATCTATGAAAATATCCGTCTAAACCCATAAATTGGGACTAGGTCGTATACATCCATTTTCAATCACAACACCTAAATATTCAACGCATGTTTTAAAAAACAACATTTCGACAAATTCAAAACAAAGTCGGCGTTCGATAGTTTGTTTATTATTTCCCTTGCTCGATGGTTGCAGATGGACATAACACATCATCGACATAAACAAATGCGATGGTATCTTTTAACGAATCTAAAGCTTTATCAATCGCTTTTTGATAACATGATGGAGAATTCACGAAACCGAAAGGCATTCTATTGTACTCATACAAGCCATCTAGAGTTACAAACGCGGTTATGTGTTTAGATGGCTCATTAATTTCAACTGAATAAAAGCTATTTTTCATATCGAGCTTACAATAATAAACAGCATTAGCGAGAGCATCTATTTGGTCTTGGATTCGCGGAAGTGGATAATTGTTTTTAAACACACGTTTGTTTACTTCCCTATAGTCCACACACATTCTGACGTCACCGTTTCTTTTTTTACTAAGACTATCGGGCTTGTATATGATGACTCACTTTCTCGAATAATTTGATCATTTGGCTGACCTTGAACAATATGCTTAACCTGCAATCGTTCGGCATAAGATAAATGACGTGGGCGATAAGCAACTGGCTGGGAATCACGTAATAAAATTTTTTATTTACCTGTTGTTACAGCTTTTGGTGTTTGTTACCATCCTGTCTGTAGAATTTCTTTTATCTCACTTTCTTGTCCAGTTTTGAAAAATTTAACACGGCCATTTCAAACCGACGTACACTTAATACACGATTAATATATAGTTCATTATAAACAATATCGACATCATTCTTACTAACGTTCACTCGTATACCGGGTCTTTGGATAACGTCCAGACCAATTCACACATTAACCTTACCTTCAGGAATCGAACCGTCCGGGACTACGATAAAGTCTATTTCCAATGTCATGGAAGGTGCGAACATTAAAACAGTACAACGACCAATCGGACTTGTCACCGAATTTCCCATTCCAGCTAAATATTCTGCGGTTCCCAATGGTTCAATTTTTAAATTTAATTTTCTTGCAACACTCTCATGTAATACCGATACGTCGGCTGCAGTGTCTACTAAATAGGAAACAGTTATTACTGAGTTCTGATTTGTTACTGTTGCCTGTGGATCTGATCGTATCATGCGAGTTTTTTGTGTTAACAAAACTCGTTTATTTGGGACTCCACGTTTACTATAGCAGCTTTCTTTAGTGTGCTCTGTCTTTTAACAATAAGTACAAGTTTTAGGTTTATTTTCAGTCAGTCCGGTCTGTCTTGTTCCCGACGAACCAGCAGCCATGTTACTATTAATGGCCTGCTTACAGTCAATTTGTTTGTGACCACGTTAAAAACAATTTCTAAATTTCCCGGCAAATACGTAAGGTTCGTCCCTTTCTTTTAAAAATATTTCTTGGTGGTGAATATCGGCGTCGTTTTCTCGATTGTTCCACAGAATCACTTCGACGGACCGTAACCGGTGGTCGAGCCTTACCTGCTGTCATATACCGGGCGTCACAGATGGCCAAAAGTTTTAATAAGTCACCTTCAGAAGACGGAGCTTGAATGCAGATTCAATTTTTAACGTCAACGTCTTTTATGTCATGTTCAACTAGGCTTAAAACAATATCCCATGGCAAGTGGGCATAGAATTTTTTAATTGCAGCTAACTTAGCATTTCCATATTCCACCAAGGAGTCAAAGTCACAACTTATTAAGTCTAGACCAGCGCGAATTCGGCTAGCCGGCGTACCTTTTTCAGGAAAAGCCACTTCAAAATCGCGCCGAAATGAGGCCCAGTTACCCGCTTCCATTGTTTATAAAATCTGGCCGCACGCCCAAGCACAGCATCGGCAGCTTTTAGTACTATTAGCGTATTTGACAGCATGATTTCCTGTTGTATTTTAGTTACGTCATCCATCCACTTAACAATCGAAAATTGAGAATCATCAGGGTCAAATGTTGAAAGTTTAATCTGCGACGATGCCGCTTTACTGACATCAAATACCGGCGCAGCCACAGAATACGAACTGACTACAACAGGACTGGGTGCGGCGTCACTTCTATGAGCCGCCATGTTGGATAAAAATGCCATCATTTGTGCTTGAAACTGCATATTACTTTCGTGCTGAAGTTCCCACATTTTTAACATTTTAGTATCCAAAATGTCATTATTTTGTCTTTCGGGTCGAGACGCAATATTCACTTCCAATTGTTCCTCGTGTTGACTTTCCGCACTTTCATTGTCCGCTATTGTTCTACAAGACTTTTTTACAAAATACAGTCGTTTTTAAGTCGCACGTTTGGTTCTTTCTCGTCTGCTAACGCCACATAAGAGGCATCCCACTTCTGATGTTATCTCTTTGGGGTAAATTAATAAATAAAAAATTCACTTTAAATAATGATTTTATTTTACATAAAATCTACAATAATATCAAAACGATGCCTTAACAGAACTGAACTGATTTTTATACAATAATATGAATGTGTTGGTCATTCTTGAAATGTGATACTCTGTTTATCAACAACGTACAGCCGGCAATACCAAGGACGGTTATCGTCTTATGAATACTGAAACAGTGGCGTGTCATTATCAAGGTAGCGGGACGCTAACAAACATAATATTTACCAGCTGAACATTCAATGAATGGCAACCCTTTGTACTAACATATATATGTTCTGGATGGAGGGGATCAATTGTATAGTCTATTACCCCCACTATTCCGGAAAAATTGTATTTTAAGTAGAATCTGCAAAATAAAGATACAGCTTTATTTTTCTATTTAAGAGAAATATTATGTGATTGTGTACCTAGTTCTTAGTTGTTCCAATTCTCCAATGTTTCTTAGAAATTGGACCCATCTATTAAATATATTGGGGTTATTTAGTGCTCCACATACTTTTATGCAGCGACTGACATTAGACTGGCTACTCCCTGCAAAGTGGTTACTCCCTGCAAAGTGGTTACTATCATCTATTTCCTGATAGCTACCAGTTGTTAGGAAACGTAAAGTAGTAAATACCTAGAAGATAAACAATAACTTTGTTAATAATGGTTTTCTCATTTCCCAATTATTACGACCTAATTTGGATAGTAAATACAGAAATCATACCTTAGTTTCGACACTAAGTGCTGACCTACGAATGGGTTCTCTTAAATAAGGTAGTAATTTTAATTATTTGCCTGACGAGAGGCTTTGTGAGCCGAAACATAATGATAAAGTGGTTATCACTAACAGTAAATGGATCCATTTTACCTAAAACTCTTCGTTCCATAGCCTCATTTAGTTGCTGTTCTACATCTTCTATATTGTTTAAAATTAAAAAACAGCCACTAAATTGTCCAAATTCATTTTAAAACCAAAGTAAATAACACAACTATAAAAACCAATACAAAAAAAATATGAAAACCACTATAAAAATACTTCGAAAATAACCTAACACACACAATAACAAACGATAAATGAGGTTATGCCTATGCCGTTATGGGTCGAGGGGTAAACCGCTGCCAAAATTTTGTACACTGGACTTCCAAACTTCCATGACTTCTACTTACTTTCCGTGGACTTCCATGGACTTCCATGGACTTCCATGGACTTCTATGGACTTTCTTGGACTTCCAGGTGACTTCCACTAATGTAAACATGACTTCGCTGACTTCCAGATGACTTCACATGACTTCCGCTGACTTCCTCCTGATTTTAACTGACTTCCAGATGACTTCAACTGACTTCAGGATTACTTCCTCTGACTTCCAGATACTTTCAAGTTCTATTATTATAAGCAGTACCATATAAATAACTAAATGATTCTTTTGTTTAATTTTACGTTATTTGGTCCGTTTGATAGTTCAAAACTTAAACCACCAGAGACCCTAAAGTCCAGAAAAAAATAAAGCTCGTAATAAGGTATGTGGAAGAAGGAACAAGTAACTGAAACAATTAAATTGTTTGTCAGCAGAATTTGTTGCGATAAATTAAGTTCTAAGACCTACGGGATCCCCGAAATTGAGATTATCTAAATGATAAGAGATAGAGTGAATAATTAAACTAAGGAGAAGTTTATGAAAAATTCGAGGGAAAAATGTGATGTTCTTCAATAGAAAATCATTTATGAATAAATGGAGAAAAGCCAATAATTTAGGAATTTCGATCTGTCTTGTTAATCTATAGCTCTAATAAATTATATAATACTTCTACGTAGAACAGTTACAGTTTCTTATTATCACAACTAAGGTATACCTTCACATTCTGAAAATTTACACAATAGATTACATTAATTACACTTATCTTAGGTAAAATAAAGCTTGTATTCATCCTTACTAATTTATTTGTGAAAGTACAACAAAAATGTAATTTAAACAAAATTGACAAAACATATTTAGTCATTAATAATAAATATATAAAGTAACATTAAAGTAATGTCGACGGTCGACAGATACTCGCAGGCTAAAATGTGATGCGATACCTATTCTGAAGCCGACGATTCTTTCATTTGGTCAGAGTCAGTTTCTGTCCAGATCTCCAGGTCTGTACTGTCATCTAATGTGATTTGATCAGAGTCTGTTTCTGTCTCAGTTTCAGACAGTTGTTTTGGCCTTCTTCGAGAATTTCGTTTCGGATTACGAACGAGATTACGAATGATGTTATTTAGATTACTTCCTGATGACGTTGCATCGTTACGAGTATATATGTTTTCTGGTGATATCTGGGATTTTCTAGGGGAGTTTCGTTTTTTCGAGCGTTTTTTTGAAATGAATCTTTGCAGTCTGTCTGAACTGATTCTTTCCTTATCTTCCTCTAGAAGCCAGCAAAGTGTCGATTTTCGAATGACAGATGATTTGCCATTTGAAAAAGTAACTGTCACAAATGGGCTATTTGCCGAGAGTGTTTTTTCGTCAGTTTCACTTTCGATGTTTTTCGAATAGTCCTTTAATTCAAGTTTTTCCCCGAAGACACAGTTTAATGATAATTTACTCAAGTCCTCTTTCAGATATTTATCAGTTTGTTTGGCGTCTTCATAGATATTTTTTTTGAATTCGGATTTCATGGTGTCAACACTTTTTTTTAGAATGCTCTCAACTTCGCTACTGTTGTCTTCTTCAAAAATAATGGGATTATTATCAATGTTCTCTTCATCAGAATTGTCATCAATCCCATCATTGTCGACGAAAACATCAGCCATTTCGTTTGTTGAAGGCATTTCTAAGTTGGTTTTAGGCTTTCCTAAGGGAATTTCAATCTCATTCCACCAACATTCCAAATTTTTCTCATTCTCAGTCTCTAAAGTTATACCAAGTTTTTGGATTTCTAATAAAACATCTTTTAATGCCCGGTCAACGGCATCCTTTATATTCTCTTTGGAGAACATGAGTATGTCTTCTTCTACATTTACTCTCCCTTGTTCATTGGAAATTTTGTTTTTCCGATCTTCTCTTGGAAATTCCAAGATGCCACTTAAATCTTTAGTTGTATTATTGATTATTTGTATTCTGTCAACTCGATGTAAAAGGTCTTTAATACTGAAATTAACAATCGTGGAAAATGTGGATGTCATAGACCTTGTACTCCTGAAAAGCTTCTCGCAACACTGACTGCTCATTAACCAAGGTAGGAATATATCGGAAGGCAACTCAAAATTTTGGAATTGTAATATTAAATGTATCAGCGAATGTGCATTTAATTCAATACATAGATAGCAGTTAGATGATAGAAAATTGGTTTTTATCGTATAAAGTTTATGTTTACGAATCCACTTTCGCCAAATTCTCAAAAAGAAAACACAAAACCAAAGATAGTAGAGACGATCATTTAGAGAAATTTTCTTATCTAATAAACCTAAAATAGAATATCTCATAATCTTTAGGTATAATACAGTGCCTTCACTTCCAATGACATGTTTTGTTAACAAACTTTGAACAGATGGTGCACAGATTTTATCAGCCGCGAGAAAATTCATTTTATCCTCATGTCGCAAATCTGACATTGTTAATAGGTGTTGATCTTTTGAAAAATTCTTCACTAAATATAAGATATGATCTATTGTAGCAACAAAATTACCAATATGCATAGAAACTTTTGGATTAAAAAGACGTGTTTTTAATTTTGTCGCAATATGAACTGTATCCTGAAAAAAACAAGGGTTCTCACGTTTGATGTCCATACAAAACCAAGTCCAGTTTTTGGGAAATACAGTCTGTCTTCTTTTTTCAATTTCATCTAGAGGTAATGATGTATTTATTCGCATAGACCTGAGTAAGCGGCTATCACCATCTGATGAATAACCCAGTATTGTGATTCCAAATTGAGCTGCTTGTTTCTGCATCCACTGCCATCTCTCCCGAACATCCTCAGCGGTAAATCGATTATCTGTACCAAATATGGACAAACAAAAGGCTGGTGCAACTTCAGATAATGGTTGAGCTACAATCACATAAGCGTAACTTGATTTTGGACTATTTTCAAAAAACCCTGAATAGTTTTGGCTGATGTAGCCAAGTATTCATCATTCTGCGGTAATCCATGTTTTAAAGGTAGTACAAATCCTAATATTTTATTCGTTTTGTTGTCGTATTCTATTTTAGAAGTTATTCTTGTACCATCTTCTGCTACCCATATATATTTGGACAAATTCCTGCTATTCAAATATTGGGAAAGACCATCGAAGTCGAAGACGCCTTCTTGGAGTTCTCTCTTCATAGTATGAGAATATCTAAACAAAGTTGATAGAGAGGGTAACGTATTTCGTAAATTTGCATGTAAAGTTTCATACAAAAGTCGTCCTCCAATATAATAAATGTACAACGAAAATTTCAGAATCACATCTGTATATTTATTTTTGTTGATGGGGCCACGAGAATTTTTTTGACAGAGATCGTAAAGCATTGTTAATAAAGAACTAGTTTCATCATTAATTTTGTCTTTATCTTTAGGGAAGTCAGTTGACTCTAGAATTAATTCCTTGTTTATATTAGGATTTTTGTAAATAATGTTCATAATATGTTCAACTACAGGATAAAAGTTTGTGATCGTAGGTTGTATTATTCTCTCTCTTTGTCTTCTGCTTCGCTCACTTCTTTGATATTTTTTCAATGCCCACTTTGATTTGGGTTCGGATTTAACTCGGGATTTAATACATTTTGACTGGTTCTTGGGTTCTATAAGTGGAATGCAGGAAACATCTAACCCATCTACAATGTTTCTGCGTTTCTCAAAAAACTGAGCATGTTCACTTACAATATGGTCCGCTTGTTCATCATAAGACTGTTTGGAGGTGCCTGGTCTAGAGCTTGGCTCGTAGCTTCCAAAGTGGATATCAGTTTCTGTTCTTGGCGAGGTTCTCGGTTCTTTATTTGGATTTAAAAGTATATTTGATATAATATTTACTTCAGCAGTTCCTTTATCTGGCGAGTTATGTCTAAAGAAGCTTTTAATTTTGCTTTGAGTCTTTTTGCGCACCTTAGTTTCTTCGAGAGTTTGTGTACATCTGTTGTCACTATCTCCGTCAGTGTCAGTATATTGCTTTTTTCTTTTTACCCCTTTATGTTCACTTAAAATATGGCGCTGAAAGTTGGCGTATATCCATCGAGGTAGTCCAGATTTTGATGTAGCTAGTTTTTGAATTTTTAGCCTTTTATTACAGTAGCACGTAACTAACGCTTTTAATTTACGAGGTGCGTTTTCATCATCCCCTTCGTCAGTAGCAGATTCTAACGAGGATTCGATTGTTACACTATCAAATTTTGACAACAATTCTTCACTTTCTTCTTCTGAACATTTAGAAGCCCATTTCTTTAGTGTCTTAAGTATTAGAGCATTTTCTTCATTAAGGTCGACGGAAAACTTTTTTTTTTTAGGGTAATCTGTAACAGTTTCTAACGAATTCTTCTGCTCCCTAGTACTGTTTTCTGTTTGTTTTTTATCTGTGGCAGTTTTTAATTTTATTTGAAAATACTTCTCAATAAAATATTTCGATGTCCTGATAAGAATGTGAAGTTTTCCACTTTGTTTTGAAAAATGTGAAAATAAACTTCTCGAGAGGTCTCTGGAATCGCAGAGGCTAAATCTCTACAGGATTTTTCAAATTTGTTTATCTCTTCATCGTCCAAATCGGCAAGGAGTGAGGCGCCGGTATATCCACACGATATTAGAAGGTTTTTCATAAACGTTGGAATTGAAATGTCTTCATTGGCCTCAACTTCTTCAAAAAGTTGAATACTTTTCCAATTAATTAAAGGACTATGAAAAGGGCTGCAAAATAAAAAAATAAAACAACAGCTTTTTTTTATTATTTAATTCACAAAATCCTTTTATTCATTAAAAATATCAGAGTCGGGGTTCGCGCTTCTAAACATTAAGCTACAAAGTTCCAAAATTACATAAACGAATACGAACAATCAACAAAACAAATTAACCAACTATAGTACCTAAGTTTGCTAAAAAAATAAAATACAGTCTCGAGTAATGTCTGTTACGCAATAAAAATTTCAACCGGAACACGTGAACGCGGCTTTAAAATTACGTTTGCCGCTGAATCAATCCCACGTTGGCATATGCTTTATATAAAAATAAGATAAGTTGCCTCACCAGACAAGTACCTAGCAGGTACACTACGTAGACTTCCTCTCTATCGCCTGTTGCCTCACACACTCTCTTTACAATAATTATTTGCTGTCGTCGCTACTAATATTGCATCACCAAAGCACATAACATGCTGATGCGTTGAAGTCTCAGCAAAGACTGCCCAGCTGACCCAGTGTTCCCAACCTTGTAAAAGAAAAATTCCCTTAATGGATCACAAAAATTCCCTATTTCATGTATTTTAGAGCTATAATTCCCTGCTCCCCCAATGTTGCCAAAATTTAAAAATTGTCAAAAAAAAAAACAACAAATATATACTTTTTTTTAATATATATATATATATCAAAACAAATAAACGAAAATAAAATTACTGAACTTCTCAAAACAGTTAAAAAACGGCAAAATAATAAATATACCTAGATAGAAAATAGCAAATGAAAAAAAAGAACTCAAACGTTTAAAATTTCATTAATTTTTACCTTGCTTTGTATCTTGAGCTGTTATCAGCTAATAGCCATGGTTTAAAAGTAGAATCATCTAACCAATATGTCTTAAACATTTTTTCCATATGTATTTTCTTCCTTGGTTTTCTTATTTCACTATTTTCACTGCTTGAGCTTGAGGAACTCATATTTCAGAGTATAATACAAAATGGTCCAGCAGATCAATAAGCGTTTATATTGCAAATTTACCTAATCAATAAAAATAAAACCTCGAAAGAGTTGAATGTCGGGAAATCACCGAAACGAAACCAAATGTGTCCTGTCAACTGTCATGTCATATGTCATAGCCAACACTGCCAACCAACATGTGTCCTGTCTCCATAGCCAACACTGCCAACCAACAGCCACACAGAACAGCCAACTGAGCCAATACTGCCAACAACCACACAGAACACCCAATTCACTGACTGCCTCGAAATTTCTTCGTCTTTGTCGACCTGTGTTGTCAAACTTCTTTTTATTTCCGGTGACAGTAACACGGTTGCTCGTATTATCTCGAAAATTCCCTTATTTTTATGATTTTTTAAAAAAAATTCCCTTTTCCCTTTTGGAGGCTAAAATTCCCTAAAATGGGAAAATTCCCTGCAGTTGGGAACACTGAGCTGACCACGTCTACGTGACTTCGTGCCTTTTATGTCTCTCTTGTTGTCAAGGCTAACTACACTACCGCCGGATTACGTCACTCGCGCTCTCACGTACACTCTCGCATTGTTTCAACAGGAAAAGAAAATAAACAAATAAAAGAAATTAACAGGTACGGGTTGGCCTATTACATTACCCCCCTATTCATTTTTGTCAGGATGATAAAAATTAATATTAGATACATTTACAACAGGTGGCACATATTTCTTTAAATTATATATGTTTTGTATACCTAAAGAAACTGAATCTCTATCTCTTTGTATTTCATAGGAATTAGGACCTTTCTGAGAAATTACAGTACCTGGACCGTCATACAAGAGGAAAAACTTCTTAATTTCTTTTTCTTGTGCATCCGACTGTGGGTGAGTCCTAACCCAGACTTTATCCCCCATTTGAAATTTAGTAAACAACTTATTTTCATCGTGACGAGACTTTCTTTTTTCTGATTTAGTCATTAACCTTTTATAAGCAAAATGTATCTTGTCATCCACATCCAATAAAGGTTGATCTGATTTTGGAAATTTTAAATAACGCGCAAGAGTATTCTTTCTGCATTTGCCGAAATGAATTTCACTAGGCGTGAAACCCGTACTATCATGGTAAGTATTATTAAGCCACCCCTCAACATCGTTTACCATATTAACCCATCTCGTATGTTTATCATAACAAAATGATCTTAGAATACGCCCGATTTCCCTATTCACCCTTTCCGTCATATTACCTTGAGGGTAATAAACAGATGTTCTACATACTTTAATATCTAATTCAGCCATACTTGTCTCTTACAAGACACTAGTAAACTGACTACCGTTGTCAGACAAAATTTTCTCCATTTTTCCTACTTCGGAAATATATTGTTTTAGACATCGAATAATATTTTTTGATGTAGCCCTTTTTATTGCAAATAATGTAACTAACTTGCTAAAAGCATCTACAAACACGAGTAAATACGTCGCTCCCCCTCTACCTTTAGGTAGCGGTCCCATAAGGTCAACACACACTACTTCATTGATATTACTAGGAATAACGCTAAGCATTTCTCCAATCAAATGTTTAGAAATTTTTGCACGCCGGCATAACTCACAACCCGAAACTATTTTTCTAATAAAGCGACGCATTTTTGGAAAATAATATGACACACGAAGAGCTTGAAAGCACTTTTCCGCCCCAAAATGTCCGTTATCTTCATGCTCTTGTAGAATTAGATTCAATATTTGGGCACGCGGAACACATAACTTATACCCCGGACAAACTAGCGACCCCTTACGAAATAAGACGTTCTCATGAATATCATACCATTTTTTGTACCGTGATTTTTCGGTATTACTCGCTATCTTAGTAATAATTTTATTCCAGCATTCGTCTTTTACCTGGAATTTCTGCATATTTTTAAAGTCCTTCACTAATAATTTATATAGGTTAGATTGACTTATTTCATTTATTTCTAACTCGGTAACTTCCGGAATCTCAATATCTCTCTCATTTTCTGATTTAACCGGATAACGAGACAACGCATCTGCTATCTTCATTTCCGAACCACGACAATATTCGAACTGTAAGTCAAATTCTTGTATATACAAAACCCAACGAGTTAGTCTCGCGTTTAATAACCGACAGGACTTAATGAAAGTAAGGGCTTTGTGATCACTTAAAATAGTTACATTTTGTCCTAAAATAAAAACGCGCCATTTTTTTAAAGCAAATATGACTGCTAGAGCCTCCTTTTCAGTAATGGCGTACCTTAATTCAGGCCCCCTTAACGATCTACTTGCAAAAGCAATAATTTCCCATATACCCATATCTGTTTTTTGAAAAAGACACGCTCCCAAAGCATAGTTGGAGGCATCACTTTGAATAAAAAAAGGCCTGTTAATATCAGGATGCCTTAATAACACGGTTTCCAAAAACTTATCTTTTAAGGCTTCAAACGCCTGAGATTGATCTTCTCCCCAACACCAAGGCTCACCTTTTCTTAATAACTTTACCAATGCTACCGTAATTTTTGCAAATTCAGCACAAAATCTTCGCTCAAAATTACAAAGTCCCAAAAATGATTTTAAATGTTTTTCATTTCTAGGCACCGGAAATTGCTTAATAGCTGTCACCCTGACCGGATCCATTTTCATTCCCATAGGAGTGATAATATGCCCCAAAAAGTGCACTTCACTTCGTGCAAAAAAACATTTCTTTAGTTTTACAGTAATTCCCCCTGTCTTAAATTTATCAAAAATTATTCTTAAATGTTGAATGTGAGTCTCTGGATCGCAAGAATATACTAGTAAGTCATCCACATAGGGAATAACAAACCCCTCTACCTCAGGACCTAAAATTTTATACAAGCCTCTAATAAAGCTTCCTACAGAAGTTGAGAGCCCAACAGGAAGGACAGTGAATACATAAGTGTGACCTTCAAATGAAAAACCTGT